TCAGGTCCGAAGAGACAGTTTGGTCGTTAGAAACTTTCTGTATAAGATGTTATGGTGGGGAACTATGTTTTGTTGAGCCCGTAGCCCGGCCCCCACACTACACAACCCCCACACACCACCACCACCAACCCACCACCACCACCAACCCACCACCACCACCACTACCACCCCACACACCACCACCACTACCACCCCACACACCACCACCACTACCACCCCACACACCACCACAACTACCACCCCACACACCACCACCACTACTACCCCACACACCACCACCACTACCACCCCACACACCACCACCACTACCACCCCACACACCACCACCACTACCACCCCCACACACCACCACCACTACCACCCCACACACCACTACCACTACCACCCCACACACACCACCACCACTACCACCCCACACACCACCACCATCCCACATACCACCACCATCCCACATACCACCACCAACCCCCCACACACCACCAACCCCACATACACCACCACCACTATCACCCCACACCCCACCACCACCCCCCACATACACCACCAACACCAAACCCCCCACCCCCCATAAGGAACATAGAGACTGTGATTAATTGGGAACAAGCCTAAACCATTATAATAACGGTAACAGATTCTGTAAAAAGCCAGCAGGTCGTTAAAGATACAAGACAGGTGTTGTAGAGGGAGAAATCAGTGGTACTCTACGATCTGCCGGAGCCAGAGGGAGATACATGGGACAGGAGAAGAGAATGGAGGACAAAGAGATGCCTGTAATTCTCACCAGAATGCAAGCTAGTGAGACAATCAGGGTAATTGAGCGTTGCTGTAGACGTGGTATGTTGGTATGTTGCAAATGAGATGGAATCAACCAAAGTAATCTTACAGAATTATATGAATTTCTGAATTATAATTTCACTGAATTTCTTCAGTGAATTATATTCCGTTGAAATTGGGGGCCAGAGAGCTTTCCATATTCATATATATTATGTATGAAGATGTATACTATATTTCCATACGGTATACATAAACCGAGACATGTCAAAGGATTATTATTATTATTATGTTTATTTTTATTATTTTCTACCACAGACGTGGCCACACATTTACGATGCTAACCAGCATATATACATTTTCTTCTGTCCTCCATGGACAGGGTGAGAGATCTGTTAAACATATTGTTCAGTGATTTATTGAACAATGAACCACATAAGGAGGATTGAGAGGATGCAAATATAATCAGAGAAGGAAAAACAGATAAATACTTCAAGGCGACCACAAAACAACACAAGCACGACAAAAAGCAAGGCTAACAGTGCACAAGAATTGGAAAGTCAGGCATCAGAGAGCTCATTACAAAAGAACACTGAGTCAAACAAGCCTTATGGAGGTACTGTTCCATAGGGGCGGGCAAAAGTGACTAGACCAACAACAGCCCCTCTTCCACTTTCATAACTGATCACAGAACAACTGGAACCAATACACCTTTCCAGGAACCAAAGTAACCCAGTAGAGAGATGAGTAGGATTAAAGTCGTGTAAATAAATGCAAGTGGAATTACAAATAAACGAGTAGGGTTACAGGGAAAGATGACAGAAGAGCAACCACACATTATTGCAATAACAGAAACGAAACTGATAAGTGTTATATGATTTGCAATTTTCCCACGAGTAAATCAAGCAATAAGGAAAGATTGGGGAAAAGTTGTAGCCCGACTACTACAGCGGCACTGGAGCACTGAGGCAGTGAAATTGTCAGAGGAACCTGGTTACCAAGAGTACCTGCTATGACCAGCAACACTTGGGGACCTGAAGATAGTGGAAAGGGTAATAGAAGACCCGAGGAAGCTTATGATAATTGCTTTGAATCTTGCCTGTAGATAAAGGAGCCACAGTGGCAAAGGGGGGTGAGACCTATGATTCATATACTTGAACATTTCAATCACAGAAAAATTGACTGGATAAATAGGGAGCCCGAAGGGGGTGATGAGACAGAGAGCAAAACTGGTAAACACAGGAGACAAGCATATCAGAGAACCAGCAAGAGTAAGGGGAAAGGACCAGGCAGCAACACTAAACTTAGTGTTTAGTGTTGCTGCTGGGATGAGACAGATATTGAGATGAGACAGATAATATCAAGATGAGACAGATAATATCAAGATGAGACAGATACTATCAAGATGAGACAGATAATATCAAGATGAGACAGATACTATCAAGATGAGACAGATAATATCAAGATGAGACAGATACTATCAAGATGAGACAGATAATATCAAGATGAGACAGATACTATCAAGATGAGACAGATAATATCAAGATGAGACAGATACTATCAAGATGAGAGATAATATCAAGATGAGACAGATAATATCAAGATGAGACAGATAATATCAAGATGAGACAGATAATATCAAGATGAGACACATAATATCAAGATGAGACAGATAATATCAAGATGAGACAGATATTGAGAATATAGGAGTGTGAGATGCTCCTGGGGGACTATAGAGCGACCTCTACATTATCGTGCTTGACTACATAATGGAGCTAAAGGAATTTGATAGATCTAGAAACATGCTGAGGAAGAGGAACGGTGTGAGTAATGTGAAGGATTTTCTGAGTGAAGTCTAGTGGTGGAGAGAACTGGAAGGGAAGACGATAAATGAGAAGATGGAAGTTATTCTCAGAAATGTGCAGCTGCAGCAGAGCTGTACATTTCTCTCAAGAAGAAGGTGGACGAGAAAGGCAAAATAAACCCTCTGTTTAATAAACTGCGCAGAGAAGCAATCAACACTACGAAATGGCAAGGAAAAGGTATAGAGATCTAGGAACAGAAGAAACTAGAAACGGACTCAAGAGAGTCAGAAATGAATACACCAGAGTCAGGAGAGAAGCTGAGATGAATACACCAGAGTCAGGAGAGAAGCTGAGATGAATACACCAGAGTCAGGAGAGAAGCTGAGAGACAGTTTGAAGACGACATAGCAACAAAAGCTAAGAACCAACCAAAGCTGTTTCATATCCATATAAGGGAAAAAACAACATCCAGATGTTATCCTGAGGAGACTCTAGATGATATAGTAGTAATTGTGGAAGAGTCTAAAACACACCTGAAGACACTAGATCCAACACATTTGGGTCAGACTTCATGTCACTATTGCTACATAGCCTTCCCGGCTTGGTGCCTTCTTGTCACAATTATTTACTTCACGTCACTGTGGCTGTTGAAGGAGGCTGCAGAGGTGCAGCGTCATCCACTACCTGATCTTTTCAATAAAAAATCTCGAAACAGGAAATTCCCAGAATTCTGGAAAAAGACAAATATATTCTTAATATTCAAG